CCGCCCGGCCTGCGACCGCAGTGAGTGACCCGGAGCCGCGCTCTTGCGAGAGGCGGGACCCGGCATCCCGCCTTCCCCGTGGGCGTGGGGCTGCCTTGGAGGGAGCCCCGTCATTAACATCCGAGAAAGAAGTGGGGCTGGACGGGAGCTGAGCTGAGCTGAGGCAGGGACGCCCCCGCCAGGGACGTGGGTTTTCCGGAAAACCTTAAATTGGGAAATTTTCCTAAGTAGAGCCGGATCTGATTTAGCACCTTTATTTGCTTTGCGTTTAATAAACAAAGCTAAAACAGGACCCCCCGCCCCCCACGTTAATTTTATGCCCGGATAGCCACAAGTATTTGAACTCAGAGATTTGATTAGGGGGAAAAAATTAAAAACAGCACACTTAATGTAGTTTTTGTTTGTGTTTGAAAATATATATCTGTGTGTGTGTGTGTGTGTGTGTGTATTCAAACAGGTGTTAATGCTGTACTCAAAGTTTTATGTGGAAAGAAGTTATTAGTTTATTGGAATAGTTATAAAGCCAGTACACAACAGCATGTACATCCCGTATATTGTTTTTTTTCCCCCTTTAATTTAAACAAAGGCACTGAAAACTGCTGACATGCTTACGAGGTGTCAGCGCTTTGTGATGGTTTCAAGCTTGTTTTTAAAATCATAAAATGACGAGGGGAAAAATGCAGCTGTATCAGGTTGAGACGATCTACTCGTACGTGATGTGTAAGTGCCTGACTGAGATGTTCAGGGCAGGTGTATAATTTTTATGTCTTTAAAACTCCTTGAAACATAGAAACTATAGTTACGTTGGTACGCTGCTTCTGATACTGCTTCTGACACTAGTTTTAGCACACCCGCAGAACTGTGCGTGATGTGCCGTGCTTTGGCTTTGATTTAACCTGCACAGCCAATTAGGTGAATTCATAACTTGGTTTTTGGGTTTGGATGATTCTGAGAGTGTGTTCACCCTCCCGTTTACAAATTGGTAAAACATATATGTGCTCTCTCCCACACTTCCTAGGGATAATCACCTAAAAAACATTAATTGCAACTTTGAAACTGCCAAGCTTGCATAATCTTGTTTTGGCATCCATTCATTGTTACTATTGAATTTTATGAAACGATGAATTTTTAGAAATGGAAAATTTCCCATGGAAAAATAAAGTACCGGAAAATTTTCCACCCCACATTTCTGTCCCCAGCCAAACCACCCTCTACCAATCCATCATCAAATCTTCATAAACCTTCTGTCAGCCCTGATGCGACACAGATCAAACAGCTTGGCCTGCACAGGTAAAGTGGGGGAGCTGCAGCAGCCAACATCCTGCTCCTGTGAAATGTTATCAATAGACGCTTAAGAGGTCGCAGGTAGGGCCATGTCCCCGCTGCAAAGGGAGGCAAAATTCCCTCTGAGAGCCCTCCCTGTCCTGCCCCTGGGGTGGTGTCTGTGCAGGGCTTCATTGGCCAGCACCAAGCTGATGCTGTCAGAGAGGCCACACAGCTCTTATTTTTAGCTGAAACTTGATGGGTTTGAGGTCAAGTTTTGCCCTGTCAGAATTAGTGGTTAGGATGGGGTCCAGGGCTGCTGCGGACTGCTGTGCAGGGCTGCTGGGGGCCGGGGCTGCTGCTGTCCTTTGCTTCACAACTAGGATTCCCTATTGCTCTGCACCATGTGGGTGCCCCAAGCTGCAAGCTACCACACACTGCACCATGTCACCCTGTGCCCTAGGCATGAAGCAGAAGCCAGAAGAGAAGAAAGCCTGGAGATGCTGCTGCTGCTGCTGCTGCTGCAGCTGGAGCATCAGAGGGCAGAGCAACCAGGTGGGACTATGGAGGCTGCAAATTAATAACTTCTTATGGGTTGCATGCTGCCCCCAGGCTGTCAGTTGGACAGCCCTGAGTTAGGATTAGCTGGCGAAATAGGGATACCAAACAGATAAGTAGACTGGGTGTTGCTGCCACAAAATAGTTTGCCTTTCTTCATTTAATCTTAAAAACATGGGATGCATCTAGTGCCTGGAATGGTAGATGTTAGCTATCACACTTTCAGTTTTGTGCTTACTTAACTATAATAATATTGACTGCAGGTAAATAGGTTCCTATGGATCTTGGAGGGCTCTAGATGTTATTTGTTCAAATTTTCTGTTCTGGCGTTAATAATAATAATAAAGTATTGTTTTTGTCTCCCAAATAGCCCCACCCATGGGAGTTTCCAAAGCCTGTTCCTCGTGCGTACGGACCGTAGACATCAAAGAAGTTTGCACGCAGTGTGATCACTTGATATGTCAGCATTGCAGCAAACTCTGCAGTTGCTGTAACACTGTCATTTGTTCCATGTGTTGCACCATTGAGTAAGTGCTTCGTGATGGTTTCAAGCTTGCTTTTAGAATCATAATTTTATAAGGGGGAAAAATGCAGCTGCATCAGATTGAGACAGTCTGCTCGTATATGATGTGTAAGTGCCTGACTGAGATGTTCAGGGCAGCACCCTCCCCCCCCCCCCACTCCCAGAGCATGTATATAAATGCCTGATGGGAGCCTGGTAATTTCTGTGGGGTCTCTTGCTTTCAGTAGCTGTTGAAGAGAGAAGGGAATCGTTTTCTTTTCTTTTCTTTTAAATACTGTACAAGAAATAGGGGATGCTCAACTGACTTCTTTTTTTCTTCTAGTTACAGTGATGTTGGTGATCAAGTTCTCTGCAGTGGTTGCTCAATGTTTGAAGTCTAAATTTTAATGATCTGCCAGTACCTCTTTGCGACTAAGATGTCTCTATAAATTCTATGAAGAATCATCTTTTTATAGCTGAATGACTAGCACTTCTAGTGGATGGAGTTAACAATGAGGTTGATGTGTATTGTATGTTTATATTGTATTTTTATACCATAGCTAAATAAACTTTTTTTATATTTTGATGAGACTTTTGAAGTATTGCCTTGGTTATTTTAGCTAAACTACAGTTAACCTCAAAGGCCGTTTTAGGTTTCCTTGTCCCAGACCAGTGATTCTAAACCAGGTGCCATGAGATCCTGCCATGCTAATTCCCCAGCTCCTACAAGGAAGTAAGCATAGTAAGAGATACATTAATCGTGTGAATTGAGTGGCTTCCAATTTATGAGAGTTATGGAGGGAAGCCTCAGGTCCAAGGAGGCTGAGAACCATTGCTCTGGACTGACATGCTTTTTGAGGCAATGATTTTTTTTCCAGTACTGCAACAGAAATGTAGACTACACATCCAGTGCTTTGAATTCTTATCATGAGTTGCTCATGTTGGGAGTACAGGTTTCTATTCTGAACTGTAAACCAGTGTATTTGTATAGTGACTTTTCCATGGGATTATATTTCTTGTTCTAGATGCACAATCTTGTACCTGTTGAGGTGGCTGGGTTTCTAATTATTTTGTAGAATCATAACACAGAAGAATACTTAGCCTAGGTCATGTAATGCAAAGTGCAGAAGGGAAATTATATTTGTGAGTGAATGTTTACAAATTCTGGATGGCAGTTTGAATCTTTCTGTGGTTTCTTGCAGCGCGCTCCAAAAAAAACCCCAAACCCTGCATGCATGAGATCAGCTTTTAATTATAAGTGCTTCTGGCCTCTGGCCTAAAAGTATCAGATGAGAGTTTTGGTGCACTTCCCGTAACTAAGCAGCTGTTTGTGAAATTGTTTCTAAATATGAAGCTTGTTATCTGCCTGTATCATAAATTGAATATTCTCAGAAGGAAAGGCAAAGGCAACAGTTTTCTAAAATGTTAAAAGAACTACCATATGTACTCAAATCCAAGATGAGGTCCCCCCCCACCTCCATTTTAACATTTAACCTGCCTTGTACTGGAATCGAAGGTATCAGGGAGACAGGCAGCTGCTGTAGCTACCCATTCTGCCAACTCTAGACCCTGCTAGAGCTGGAGAGCAAGTGGCTGGGGCAGGCAGAGACAGGAAAAGGGGCAGGTAATGGGTGGGGAGCATGTGCCAAGGGATGCAGACATTGGGGGTGGGCAGTCAAGGGTCAGGCTACTTGAGTTCCCTACTGCCTGCCACTGCTTTCCCCAGTGCAGCCGAAGGAGGGGGAACAAATTTATGATAACTAGGGACCAACCGAATTTGGGGTGGCTGCCCCCCGATTTCATGGTTCAAGCGCAGTGCCAGGTACCATTTTCACAGCAGTACGTGCATGCATGGCCATCTGTCAGTCTCTGGGGAGGGGTGGAACTTCTGGAGCCCCATAACCAGTCAGAGGCATGGTGGGGCACTGCGCTCACCACAAAAATCTGCCCCCTCCTCCCTCCCCCAGGTGTCAGGACACCAGGACTTTCTGTCCTCGTCTGTTTTTGCAGTTCTTTCTTTTTAAACTCCCTGCTCGCTGCTGATTTTGTGCCTTTTCATGGTCCCTGATCCTTTTTGCAGGGACTGGGCTTTATGCAGGGACCAACTGAATTCACAATTTCCATGAAAATCGCGAATTCGGTAAGTCCCTAAAGATGACCCTCGAATAATTAAATTCTATACGTAGGAACATTGTAACAACATTAGAAGTTATCCCCAATTCTGTAAGTGGAAAATCTTAAATGTAGGGAATTACAAGGGGGTTAGTAAATTTAGTGAGCATAAGGTACTATCTCCACCCTTCTTATTGTACCTGTTTGCCCCATCGCTTCTAGTCAAGTAGTGCACATGCTATACTATGGAATAGAACGAGACCATCCATTCCTCGCACGCAAAAAAACAGTCTTCAAAGCACTCTTGTTCATTGCCACCTTGCTTGTGTTAAGATAGCATCTGCAGATCCTGTATTGTTTTATATACAGTACAAATATATAGGCATTCCCTCTACCAGGCAAATTTCAGTTTTAAATAAACAAGGCTGCCAAAAGTGAAGGTCACAAGGTGGCCATGACAAACAGACTTGCATGTAACTTGGCAAAGTCAAATGTGGGCTGCCTCAAAACTAAATGAAAGATTGCCTCATATTACTGTTAGAGTTGGATATTTCAAAGTGGCAAGTGTGTTTTAACTATTCACGTCTAAGGGGTGTGCAGGTAGCTGGTCTGAATATAAATGTCTGTGTAAGACTTACTTGTCAAAAAGGCTTTCTTAAGAATATCTGCAGTGGGTAGTTGTATAAAGCATGTCCTTTACTACTGAAGTGCATCTGAAATAAATCATGTGCTGTTCTATGTAGCTTAACAAGAGGAAAAATTACATGAAATGCAATTAAAGAACACAAGCTGCAGGCGCTTCAGTGACAGATGGGTATGGGATGACATTTTTCTTTTCCTTTTAACCCCAATATAACTAATTCAGGACACTTAAGGTTCTCTTGCTTCACAAAAACCTGCCTTGGGTCACTCATTCAACGCATCGTTATTGTAGCTTGCCACTTGCTCGCTATTGTATGCGTATCGCTATTGTATGCAGCCTACTGTGCTGCATTCTTGGATTCAGAGCACTGTAGACAGGACTCAATAATCAATTATAATCAGCTCCCAAAGTATAGGTGACACTGAAACTAGTTAAGCAGTCCAGTTGTATTAAAAGTGCTGTCAAGGAGCATTTATGCTTATTCTACTGCAGTGTTCAACCTTCAGCCCATGGCCCAGATCTTGTCGTTTGGCCTGTGATGCTCCCCATGGGCTGGATGACATGTTCCAATGCTGGCTTCTGTAGGCACATAGGGTTCCTCTGTGGGGTGGATCTGGCATACAGGCTCACTCTGTGGTCCGGGCTGGCATGCAGGGCTAGGCCAGTGTGCCAAATCACGCTTGCGGACTGACCCTGCACACAGGATCTGGCCTGTAGGCTGGCCCTTTGCCACTCACTCAGCCTGTAGCACCAGATAGGTTGAGCATCACTGTCCTATGGTATTAACTATCTTACTAAAATTAGTGGGTAAGTCAGAGTGATGGAGGAACTATAGTGTATATGGAATGTCTCTAGGTCCTGTAAAATTCCTATGGCTAGAATAGCTTAAACAAAAATTTATCCTGAGGTTGAAAAGCCACTTTTAGTGAACAGTGCTGATGTTTTAAATATGAAATTATAGAAGGGAATTTGGAGAACAATTTTAAAAACTGACATTTCATTTCAAGCTTTGAACAGTGGCCTTCAATGAAGGCCCTTTGTGCAAACTGCAACCTCTAAATATATGTCTGCTTTTTCTCTTCCTTTTTAGGTAACTGACTGACTGAAAATACTGATTTCCTTCCAGGCTCCTGAAGAGAGTATGCAGGCTGTTTGCAAACAAAGTGTATTTCAGAATTGCTGACAGGTATATTTTGGGCTCATAAGAGCAACATTTTATTTCCCATGAGGCTATGGTTTAGGAGCTTATTTGGATTTCATGGCTCAGAATCCTTAGTCATTTTGTAGCCCAGAGGTGGGCTATTATTTGGGCCCAGGGGGTCCATATAGGGAGTTCTGATGAGCTGTTGTGGGGTGGGTCAGCACCCTTCCTGACCACCCTCCCTCCCCCCCCACCCCCCCAGCAATAACTCACCAAAACTTCCTATGTGGGGTAGGGAGCCATGTTTGGGAGCTGGATGAGTGATCTGCTCCCTGCACACTCCTGTCTTGTGAGGGGGTGGTGGAAAAGCGGGGGCTGTGTGTGTGTATGGGGTAGGGGGGACTGCCTGGGCGATAGGTGTTGTGGGGGCAGGGGGCATGTGCAGCAGAGCTCAACCAGACGATGCTGTCTGCCACGCTCCACATGGGGCTGAGCCCTACCAGCTCCCACCCAGGGCAGTCTGTGCTGCACTCCCATCCAGGCTCGCCACCCTGCCCTGGCCAGCGCGCACAGCTTACCAGGCTCTGCTTCCAGTGCGGCAGCTCCCCTTACCTCCAGTGGCGTCTCCTTCTCCTGCTGCACCATTTCAGGTAAAGGGGGAAGCATCAGCTGGACAGGTCCTGCCCTATAGGGTCCATGGGGCTCTGGCTCCAGCTACTAGCTGCCTTCAACCCACTCTGCCTGTCCACGGGTAGCAGCTCATCATGCCGGGTGGGCAGAGCAGGTGGACGGAGCCTGGTGTGCTGGGGCAGGAGCTGCCTAGCTGTGGCTTCCCCTACTGGCCTGAAGCAATACAGCAGGGGCAGGAGTAGGAGGAACCACTCCTGGAGGTGAGGAGATTTGAGCATCACCACCAGAAACTGCACGCTGGCCTGGGGGCTGGCAGGCCTGGGCAGGAGTGCACTACTGGCTGCCCTGGCAGAGCTTGGCCCCATGTGGAGCGCTGCAGGGGCAGCTGTGGGCTGGATCCAACCAACTGGCGGGCACCTCCTGTGGGTTGGATCCAATCAACTGGTAGATTGTATTTTGCCCACCCCTGTTCTAGCCTGTCCGTTTAAAAAGGGCTTGCCCTGTAGGTAGGGGGCCATCATAGACGACAGTCCAGTTGTCCTCTGTCCTCTATTGATACAATACCCGACGCCTTTCTATCCTCTATTTTTCTCTTGAAGAGAAAAATTGAAGACAGAAAGGCATCAGGTTTCATATCGATAGAGGACAGAGTAGCAGAAAGCTGGAATGTCCTCTATGCTGGCCACCCTACCTGTAGGACAGAGACCATATACAAGGAATGGAGGATTGAAAGAGTGAGTGGAAACTCAGAAAGAAAATGCTTGCTTGTCTGTGGCAGGAGTGGAGGTAGAATAGTGGAATCAACAGCAAAAGAAATGGCATAAAAGACTTGATTCTTAAGAAACAGCATTTAAAAGGCACCTGACCTTTTTTGTTCTTTAGTCATCCAGAATGAAGATATGAAAGCACTCCTTTGGTGTATGTGTTGCATAACCCAGGGCTATCCAACTTAGACTTCATAGACACAAGGGCTGGAAGGGACCTCGGAAGATCATCGAGTCCAGCCCCCCGCCCAAAGGGCAGGAAGTCAGCTGGGATCATAGGATCCCAGCAAGATAAGCATCCAGTTTCATCTTGAAGGTGTTCAATGAAGGCGCTTGAACCACCTCCGGTGGCAGGCTGTTCCAGACCTTGGGGGCTCGGACAGTAAAGAAGTTCTTCCTTATGTCCAGCCTGAAATGATCTTGAAGTAGTTTGTGACCATTCGACCTCGTCATCCCTTGGGGCGCTCTGGTGAACAAACGTTCCCCCAGATGCTGGTGGTCACCCCTGATAAACTTGTAGGTGGCCATCAGATCACCCCTGAGCCTGCGCTTTTCCAGGCTAAAGAGCCCCAGGGCTCTCAGCCTGTCATCATAGGGTCTACTTCCCTGACCTCTGATCATGCGCGTGGCTCTTCTCTGGACTCTCTCAAGCTTCTCCACATCCTTTTTGAATTGTGGAGCCCAAAACTGGACACAGTACTCCAGCTGCGGCCTCACTAAGGCCGAGTACAGGGGGAGAATGACGTCCCGGGATTTGCTTGAGAAGCATCTATGGATGCAAGCCAGCATTTTGGTCGCTAACGACTCTTTGATTTAGAGTTTGGTGGAGATAGAGTAATATATCCTCCTCCTGAGTCCTGACTAGGCCTCTCAATCTGGTCACCTCTCCCCTCAAAGGACTGGGAGTGGATACTGGCAACTCCCTACTACAGGGAAACAAGCAGATTATTCTCCATCTTGCCTTTGTGAAGAAACTGCTAAAGTCCTGTTGTGGAAGGGGTGGTCCACAATTATCTTACTGAGGAGGGCTTCCCTCCATCAATTACTAAATTTTCCACATGCTGTAGCTTAGTATTTATATATGTAACCTAGCTATTAATTTACTTATTTCTTTTTTTTTTCCTTTACCAACATGGTGTGATCATTTTCTAACATATGCAGGCATTTCCATGCTGCAACTACAAGTCATTATGAACCCCGCCCCCCATGTGTTTTGCAAATACTGTCAAATTTAATAGATTCATAGAGTCGGAAGGTACCTCAGTGGGCCATCCAGTCTGACCCCCTGCCCCTGGCAGGCAAGAAGAGAGTCACCAACCCTGGGGTCATGTAATCCCAGCCAGGTGCCTGTCCAGTCTCCTCTTGAAGACCCCCAAGAATGGGGCGAGCACCACCTCCCTTGGGAGCCCATTCCAGACCTTGGCCACTCTAACTGTGAAGAAGTTCTTCCTAATGTCTAGTCTAAATCTGATCTCTGCTATGAAGTCAAGATATATGACATCAATCTCGTCTCCCTTGTCCAGGTGATAGGTCACCTGGTCGTAGAAGGAAATGAGATTGGTCAAGCAAGACCTACCCGCAACAAACCCGTGCTGGCTATCCCTTAAGATGTTGGCGTCGGCCAGTCCATTAAGGATGGCCTCTTTAATAAACTTTTCTAAGATCTTCCCCGGGATAGAAGTCAGGCTGATGGGCCTATAGTTAGCCGGATCCACTTTCCTCCCTTTCTTGAAGATAGGCACCAGATTGGCCTTCTTCCAGTCTTCGGGCACTACACCAGAGCGCCAAAGATCCGTGCTAGAGGCTGGGCTATGATGCTCGCCAGCTCCTTGAGTACCCTGGGGTGAAGATTGTCAGGGCCAGCTGACTTATCACCAGCCGCTAGGCTGCATGTGGTGCAGGCTACAGGCCATGGGGGTGACCCCCCTCCAGAATCCTCTATACTGTGCCAGCCAAGTAGGTAGAGCATGGACTCCTGGGTGCTCTCCCACTGCATGGCAGCAGGAAAGGTAACTGCTGAGGCCCATGGGCTGCCAGTTGGATGCAGGCACCACAGCCTTATTTTCATTGCCAGAGTGGGGAGCTGGGGTGGGAACTTTCTCAGCCCTCAGTTGAACAATGGGAAGAGGATGTTTTAGATCTTGGACAGTTTCCCCCTCCCCTTGGCAATTCAGAACAGGAAAAGTTGTCCATCAGAATTTTTGTCTTAGTTTCTCTAATGCTTATTGTCAGTTCTTCATTCATCACAGGTAAGAAAGGCCACAAACACACTTTCTCCTCTTTGGGTCATTCTTTTATAGTGTGATGTGATGTCCTGTGGCTCCTTCAATGAGGTCATTCATGGAGTGGCATGTGGTCTGTTTCTGAAATGCTTACAGAACTATAGCAAGTGATATTTGTATGCATCTTATTAAAGCAATGGAAAATTGCCTTCATTTTATTGCATTCAGCTGCACTTTAGGTTTTTATCATTTCACCAATGGTGCCCTAAAAGCTACCCAGTGAATTATCATCATTGTATGCAACATTCTGACCTTCTAAAGAGCTTTTTCCTCATTAAATCCAAACAAATATACCCGCTTTTCTGACATTTTGCTGAATTAAGAGAGCAATGGACATTTGAGTGGTATTACAGGAAGCCAAAGTCTGATATGCTCAAAATGAAACAAATTCTTCAGCATCTATGCTGTATTGTAGGCCAAGTGAGGCTTCCCGTCAGCTGAAGCTGTTAAACCCTACACTAACAAGGTATCCAGCATGGTCAACTACTTTGTTTTTAGCAGTTACAACCTGTATCAGAACTGAGCACCAACAGCTGTGAATAATTATCTTACTTCATTGAAAAGTTAACATACATTTAGGAAACCTGCTCAGATGGCACAGATCCATTCTGTTTCTATCCAGTGTAGTATGTTCATTCATCTATCCAGTAGTTCCTGACACCCTGAGGGAATCTCAATTCAAGATGCAACTTTTCCCTATGTTCTTGTAAAATGGAGTAATGAAAAAACTGGTACCACACCTGTCTGAAAGACTTGAAATTTCATTTACAAAAAGAATCTGTGCTGAACAGGTTTGGAGAGAAGGTAGCTAAAAGCCCATTTCAGATTAATCTAATTAAAGCTGCTGGTCTAGGTTTGGACTGTGGCACAATTTGGACTCTGGCCAGGAACAGGCTTAGTGGCCTGGGATCTCCTCCTGCCAGCGGACAGAGAGCAGATATCCTTTCTCACCCTTCTGGACCTGTTTGCAGTGTTTGATGCTGCTGTCTCTGAGATATTCCTGTCACACGTGAGAGAGGTGGCAGGGGTGTTAAATATGGTGTTTAAAGTGGTTAACATCTTCTGTGGAAGGTTGCACACAGCAATAAGACATTGTACATCCAGTTCTAGATCCCTCAGCTATAGACTAGAGTCCTACAAGGATCGGTTGATGCAGTCTCTAAGTGAACTGGTCTGACAACATGAACTCAGCACTGAACAGATGATACACAGCTATCTGTCCTTCAACAAAAACAACCAAGCTACCACCCTCATAATGGCTGTACGATTGGATGAGGAAAGTTAAATTTAAGAGCAATTTACTGACACTAAGCTCTTACACAGCAGTGTCCGCGAGTAACACTTTCTAACGTTGTGTGATCTTGGTGCA